CGATAATTTTCGGCGGCCGAATATTCGGTGCATCCCTACTCGTTAGCTTACTGCTACAATTAGACACTGCGCCCTGCCCACTCTGTTGCCAGATTTGAGAGAAATAACCAGGTCTATGAAAACAAGCCCCAAAGAAGCAACACATACATGATGTTGTGTAATTTGAAACCAAAAATAAGGCCTCAGGATGACTTTAAGACTTGAACATGGTCATTTTTGTTTTGTAACATTGAATAAAAAAATTAAATAAAGTATTTAAAAAAAATCCCGATTTTTCTCCCGATTCCGATCTTTTGAAAATCACGTGATCGGATCGGGACATCTCTATTCCTACATCCATTACATCTTAGCAGCAAATATTGTACTTTTTACTCATTACATTTATTTGAAAAGTTACTAGTTTAGTTTTGCAGGTTCATTTAATGAATACAACAATTAAATCCAGTAATAAACTTGAACATACTATTATGGATGGAGATATCGGGCAATATACAAAGTAATCAATGTTATCTATTCCTTTTAACAGCTGCAACATTAATATGAAACGCACTTGAATGCATCACTCATACTCCAGTGATATAATATATGGCCACTTTGGATTTGGTACTTTTTGATGCCAATACTTTTGTACTTTTACTTTAGTAACATTTTGAATGCAGGACTTTTACTTGTAACTGAGTATTCCTACTCTCTGGTACTTTTACTTAAGTACTAGATCTGAGTATTTCTTCCACCACTGAACACCAACCGCCCCAAATGCTGTGTTTTTACACAATAATCTTTCACTTACATGCTGTTTACTTTGCATTACGCTGCTGAGGCTTTCTGTGTGTATTCCTCTGTGATGAAGCGAGGACAGGCAGGACTCAGTTTTGTCACATTCTCATCTCCAACACTTGCACAACATGTACACACACAACCCCTGTGCACTTACATACAAACACACACATGTTTCTCCCCTCTGTGAAAACACATGCACATCACACACACATAGTCACTTTGAGTTCCAGGACTCTGACAACCTGTAATCTCCTTTAATCCCTTCATTATGTTTTTGTTTTCCTTTCCCCCTGTTTGGGGAAAAAGGTGAATGCAAACAGGAATTCCGGCGCACAAAGAAAAACACACCGCCTCAGGCTGAGAAAACAAGAGCAGGGAACTTTTTTTTTTGTGTTGGGGAAGAGAGGAGGGACACTTGTGTGCATGTGAGCATCGCTATTTGGCCAGAAGAAGAGAGGTGTGTGTGTGTGTGTGTGTGTGTGTGTGTGTGTGTGTGTGTGTGTGTGTGTGTGTGTGTGTGTGTGTGTGTGTGTGTGTGTGTGTGTGTGTGTGTGTCATGCTGTCTCTCTGCGGGTCACTGACTCTCAGGTCCGACGGCCGCCAATAACCCGCTGTGTACATTCTTCAAATCTCCAAATGTTTGTCCCTTTCATGTCTCTGAATGTTTTGCTCTGTGTATCTGATGGCCTTGTGTTTAGTTGGATTGGCTTTGTTTCCACAAACAGCTCCTGTTATGGGGAATTTAGTTTTGCGTCAGTCCTCATTTATTATGCGTTTAAGCTGAATTCCACATGCTCACCAAACAAAGCTGTCCCCTGATGGACGGCAGATGAGCTGTTGCAATAGTGTTTGACATTTGATGGATAGAGCATCTGTGTTGGAGTAGCTTTAACCTGGACTCACCTGGAGATCTCCTTAATGTATAGAGCTCTTAGAAACATAAAAGCCAGAGCTTAGATTTAAGTCCTGTTAACCACTCTTTTCCCAGGTTTAATGACGACCCCTATTTAAAGCTAAAAGTGTATTTCTTGTTGGAGAATCATCTGGACCACACAAGGCAGGGATGATACATATTGAACCATTTTAATGCTCCATAACATTGGGGCCGTGGAAATCTTAATTTCAGCAATCAGGTGTGTGTGTGAGTGTGTGTTAACTTGTAGCGTGCCTGCTCCTCCACCTGGAATTCATTACAACTCCGGGGGATGTTTATTTTCTCCATTAATCCGTGTTCCTCTATTATCAAGAGCTGCCCCCAAACTACTGCCCTGCAGGCACGCTGGCATCTACACACACAGATATACATGATGCCTTTAACCGCATCACAACATTAAACCTGCACTTTTATCTGTTTCCCCCTATTGTGTGTGTGTGTGTCTTTGCATATGTTCTGTAGTGTGTTGTAAAGACTTCACATTTGATGGTGGTTCAACGTGCCCTCAGGTCTTTTAAGCATGTTGTGATAATGTCAAAAAACCTCTGTGAACTTTATACTGGCATTCTTCATTGTTTCGTGTATACAGAAGCGAATTCTTCCCCCAGATGAAAGCAGCTCGTGGAACCATGAGCATATGTCTTCCATTTACCCGCCGTGATTCTGACCTTTCCTACTAATGTGTGTGTGTTTTTGATGTGTACTTTCACCGCTTTATGAGGCCGCAGTATCTGCAGGACCTGAACATGCACTCACTTTGAGGGATGTAGCCAGATCGAGTCATTTTCAGGTTCAAGGAGAAAGGAAGAACTCAAACCCCCCCCTCTGTGTTTCTTTGTCTCCTCGCAGGCGACCCGAGCCAAGCTGACCGCTCACTGCTCGTCCCTGGGCGACTCTCTGGGGAAGGAGAACGAGCTGGCGCTGATCATCGACGGCCAGACGCTGAAGTACGCTCTGTCCTTCGAGCTGCGCCAGGCCTTCCTCGACTTGGCGTTGTCCTGCAAGGCTGTCATCTGCTGCCGGTAGGGAAGACTCATCCATCACACACAGAGATTCACTTACATGAGCAAGCTTTGGTCATCCACAGGGTATACACACACATTTTGGAAGTCTGAATTCACACCAAATATACAATTCAGTGGTTTTTTAAAGAGGCCTTTTTACACTTTTCCTTTCCTGTAACTAAACAAAAATAGAGTCTGCAGGAAGTCTAGACAAAAGTCTGGAATTGTAATCCATTAAAGGGTCAGGCACCAGTTGTTGGATCAACATTTAGAGATACACAGGATGATTTATATGTGGAAAACCCCCTCTGTGCAGAGAAAATGTGCAGGCTCCAAGCAAATTAAAAACTTTTAAAGCAGTATTTTAACATACAAAGTCTTTGCCACGCAGACCCTTGTTTGGTGTGTGTACCTGCGTGTGTGTGTGTGTGTGTGTGTATGGGTCGTTGGTTGCACATGGTCGGCGTACGATAAAAGCCTTTCCACTGCACAGCAGGACGAGAGTAACACACTGTATGGAAATGTCAAAGCAATGACTCACTAACGGGTGGCACCCCAGGAATGGGCACCAACACACACTCAGACACACACATTGTCATTATACTGTACATTTCCGTTCATACAAAGTGCACTCTGTTCATTGAATGTTTACTGCGTGTTCCCTTTTTTGGTCATGTTCCACTCCGGCACCAGCTGTGATGTTTAACAAAAGACTTTCCACACGGCTTTTATGTGTGTGATCGTGCTCGTGTGTGCGGCCAGAAGGGAAGTCATTGACTCTCCCTTACATATCCAGGCCATATCCGGACTCAGTCTCTCAGGCCTTGTGAACAGCCACTTGCTTCCTTTCCTCTTTCCTTCCCTCCATCCCTACTCCCTCCTCCCTTTCGCTGAACTGCTTCATGCTGGGATCAAACATCAATGTTTCCAGCTTGTGCAAAAGAGGCAAATGTAGGTATTCGCATGTAAAGGAGCGTACTTGAGATTATTATAATATCCTTGATCTTTATTAGGGTGCCTGAGGTTAGATTTTAATTTATTTGACATCCCACAATGCCTTGGGAGGTCCTGACCTGCACTTTGGGAACCAGCGCTGTAGGTGATTCCCAATGTAAGTGTGCCATAACACCGTTAATAAGGAGCCTGTGCATAATGAGCGTTAGCTTTAAGACTTAAAAGGATCGCACCTCCTGTATGTGTTGTTCCGACATTTGGGAATGTGTGTTTGTCTCGGGCGCACTCGTACGCTTGGCTTCCTGACTTCACTGTGCGCTTGTTTATAGGAGGATTTAGCGGCTGCTTATTTTCTGCTCAGTTCCACCGTGAAGAGCACTGGGAGCCTTTCATCTCTCCAACGCCACTTTACACAATCCCAGACTCTGTGAGCGGTGTTTAGAGCAAAGGTAGAGCGGCGGGGAGGCGGAGAGATAAAGAGAGATTTGTGGTCGGAGGCCAAGAGACTCAGGCAGACACACTCTCACACACTTTAGCAACAAAGGGCAGAGGTTGATCCCATCCTTCTGCAAGAATCTGCTGAGGTTTTCCCCTTTTGGCTCATGGGGGGAAGTGAGTGTGTTTGTGCGTGGGTGTAAATGTGTGTTTACGCACACGCCTATGTATGAATACTAAGCAGACCACCCAGCTCTGTGATTCCAGCTTGACCGGCACATGATCCTTCTTCCATATTCATAGAAGTGTGTGTGTGTGTGTGTGTGTGTGTGTGTGTGTGTGTGTGTGTGTGTGTGTGTGTGTGTGTGTGTGTGTGTGTGTGTGTGTGTGTGTGTGTGTGTGTGTGTGTGTGTGTGTGTGTGTAATTAGATTTTGTTATATCTTTATCAAAGCGCCTCGCTGCATTCTGTTTGCATGTGACTCTCCATGCAGCTGCACATTATTAGATTTTTGTAATATCATTATCTGAACACGGACGAACATGGCAGGGATTTAATGCAAGACTAGAGACACACACACACACACACACACAGTCACTCCTCTTTTTAGGAACCGTTTTGAAGTATTGTCCACACAAAAGCCCCGTGTTGATACTATCACTATCACCTAATACATCACTGAGGCTCAGGTAATTACTATAATCACTGAATTGTAATGTAAATATTTAACACCTGGATTTATGCTAATCTCTAGTAATGCAGCCAACAGGCAAATGGCCTACTGTAACTCAACATGACGTAACATTTAGGAATGAAATACCTCATTTTATATACACTTTTAACGTTTATCTCATACTACGCATACCGTAAGACTCTACAATTGCATGTCCTGTACTGTGGGAAACATAACTTGCTTTGTTATACAGGTGTAACCCCACTCCCAGTATCACATGTCTCCTCCTTTGTTGATATATGTGATTTCACAGCGCAGTGCAGGTAGTAAGAACAAGGCTCACTTAAGCTGTGTTCATGTGAGTGACAGAGAGTAGCAAAGCATGTTATGAAAGGTGAGCTGGAGCAATTCACGTATATTTATCTCTTTTGAAAATCACTTTTAAACAGGATTGTATAAATGTCTTAGTAGCATGACAAAACGCACGGGGATCCGATCAAAAATTCTGAATTGCTACTTGTTAGGGAAATAATTGTCCTAGACTCCTAGATATGACGTGCATGACCAACCCTGACGTCTGTTATGTCCTTTAAGGAGGTAGGCTGCTTCAGCCATAAAGTTGTTGTTCCCATTCTGTGACCGGGCAGCCCTAGGTCACAGATGGTTTATTGTTGCGGGTGCACTGGGAAACTTCCTTCTTTGTGTTTGTGGACTCCAAGGTGTGAAATCTTCGAGGCCATAAGTATTGGACGCAAGTGACTCAGTGTTCCCAACTGTTTAGGCTATCTTCTCAAAATATGTTGATCACTCTCTGTGAAACCAGTTCAATGGGCTAACGAGAGAGAGAGGCGCTCCAGAATTGACGTGGCAACTCTACCGTGAAGTCAGAACCTCTGGCTCTTGGACTTGTGATGTGAATTCTCCGGACGAAGCTCCTAAATAAACCATCAGTGTTTGACATCAAAGCTCCTGCTCTTCCCGTGTCTCCTTCATGAGTCGGTGACTCCCACTACATTGCTACACAGAAGTTTCCCCCACACTACTAATAGAACTTGTGGTATTGTTTTCAAGGTCAAAACATTCAAATGTGATATTGTCATATTAACATACAGTGTAGAAATGGAAATGAAATTCTTCTGACCTGAGCTCCTCCAGCAATGCAACAAAAGAAACTTATACAATCCCATATGATACAGAAACCATTTAAGGGTTAAAGTGGTTAGAAAAAATAGATTAAATCCTGAGGACGACCATGTGATTAACAGCTCATGTTCTCACAGGTTTATTCCATGGCAGCCGGTTGAAGAAAGTAATAATTGATGTGAAAACCACTTCCTAAACCTCCAAACAGCAAACCAACACCAGAGGCCGTGGGTTGGAGCCGTGTGTTCTCATATGTCTGCAGATGTTACACAC